TTACAAGGGATAAAAGGAAAGGGAAGCAGGCAGAGAACTGGGGACTTCATAACATCAAGAAAGCAATGATGGGAGCACAGCATGTCCTTTGGACCTGAGGTTCCTGCACTGAGATGCTCCCAGACCAAGGGAGGATTGATGACAAGGACCTCCCTTCAGAGCCCACAGAGACAGAGAGCCTTCCCCTGGAGCTGATGCCTTGAATTTGGACTTGCAGCCCACTAGAACTGTAAGAGAATAAACTTCTCTTTGTTAAAGCCATCCACTTGTGGTATTTCTGTTATGGCAGCACTAGGTGACCAAGACACTGCCCTATAGTGTTTCCAAGGAGTAGCTGGAGGATTCGAACTGCTGACCTTTTGGTTAGCAGCTGAGCTCTTAACCAGTGCTTTAAAAGCTCCATGACCCAGCTGATTATAATAAGCAGCAGAATTTGAGACCCACTGCTCTACACCCTTGGTTCTGAATGAGAGGTCTGAGGACCAGCAGCATCAGCCTCACCTGGAAGCTAGTTAGAACTACATCATTTTAGAATGTACCCACATATACTGAATGAGATGCACATTTTCAGAAGTTCTCATTTAATCCCTCTAAAATTCATTATCTACAAAAATCAGGTATCAAAAAGCTATTCCGTCCTTTTAAACTCAAAAATTCTCATTCCACAACCTAAACAATACACTGAGAAGCACTTTCTAAACTTATCTAGAATTCTTTACCTATAAAAATGAGAGACCAAAACCATCCTATCTTCTTCAACTCTATAATTCTGATTCCACAAATCCAAGCAAATATAATTTGAAGGAATTTGTAAAATTAAATTTCATAATTCCATCTGCACACATTTGCATGTACTTTTTCTTGCAGAGAATTCCTTTTTCTTTTTCTTTTCTTCTTTTAAAATTAGGTAAAAATCCTACCTCCTTTATGAGGCACATACTAAAAAATAATGTATCTTTTCTGTAGGTTCTATTGTCAATATGATAAATTCCACAATTTAGCATGTTTCATACATATATACACAGAAAATTTTGTTTTTCCAATTAAATTATAATCAACTTTAGTGTGTGTAGACTCATTCTTTTTATATCCTAATCTAATGTCTAACTTTTAAAATGAATTATATATTGTTAAAATGTATATGGACCATGGAGAAACCTTAAATTTGTATTGCTAAGTAAAAAAAGCCAGTCTGAAAAAACTACATACTGTATGATTCCAACTACATGAGATTCTGGAAAAGACAAAACTATGGAAAAAGTAAAAATATCAGTGATTGCCAAGGACTCAGGGGAAGTGAAGGTGGGATGAATAGACGAAGCACAGGGGATATTTAGGGCAGTGAAACTATTCTGTATGTTACTGTAACGGTGGACACATGACATTATGCATTTGTCAAAACCCACAGAACTATATAACACAAAGGGGGAAATCTAATGTAAACTATTGATTTTAGTTAATAATCATGTATTGTTATCAGTTATCAGTTGTGACCAATGTACCCAATGAATGAAAAATGTTAATAATAGGCGAAACTGTGTGTGGTGGGACAGGAGGGTATATAAGAACTCTGTGCTTTCTGTGCACTATTTCTATAAACCTAATACATCTCTAAAAGATAAAGTGTATTAATAATAAAATAAAGACACCCAAACCACCAAAAAATGTATAAGGGAAACAAAAATGTTATTTCACTAATCTCACAAGCTTAATTACTCAAAACTAGCATATCACTGACCTCACAATTATGCAGCTTCTCTCACATCTAAGTGAACCACAATCAGCTGTGCCCTAGGACCTCTGATTCTGTCCAATCCATC